GTGTGTGTGTGTGTGCTGGGCGTATATATATTTATATATCTATATACTGATATAAGTATATATTTATATATTTATGTATCTATATATATATATATACTTATGTGCATATAAACTGATCACAAATATATATATATATACATAAATGGATGTATATACTAATTATTTTTTCAGTCGTTACTATACAAATGTGTACTTTAAGATAATGCATATCTTCATTTTTACGTATATTTTCATTTACTCGTACGCGTATGGAATTATGTGCATGTTTAAAATTATGTCTGATATATATTTCTACATTTATATATAAGTATTTATTATGAGACTTTTCATTGACAATCGGTACTCGACTTCGTTGAATTTTCTCTCTAAAACTGAACATACGTGAGCTGGCATCTCCTTTCACTGTTATGCAAGTAATCTCCGTTCAGTCTCATGTGTACATCCTTCGTACGCACTGACCTAGGATAGATCTGTTCAATTGCTGTATATCGTCCTGCGATATAGTACTACGATTCCAATGGAGTTTACCTACAGTCGCCTGTGCTACCAGGATAGTGAAGATATCACCAGCGACTATATATATATATATATATATATATGTGTGTGTGTATATATACTTTTTCATCTGTTGATTCACTGAACAAACAATATCACTGCTTTAGAAAAGAGAAGCGATCGAGTATTGGTATATACTCATCGGCCAGATCTAGACACAGTAAGACTATCAGTGCCGATCAAGCCAATCAAATCCGCCCTGAAAGCAATCCTGATTCCTCACCCTCTGAAAGCAATACTAATTTCTCACCCTTTCGAAGCAATCCTAATTTCTCACCCAATTCTGATTTCTTACCATCTAAAACAACCAACTGTTCTCATACAGCTACGCCAATATATACTTTCTGATCATTGCGGTGCTCAATTGGATGCCGTTCATCTCCGTCTTCCGGCGGGAGATCACATTCCTCCCACTGACTTTTGTGCTGACGGTTACGGCTGTGAAAGACGCCTACGAAGACTTCAGGTGATCACATGCAACAAATACTTGCACATATCTGCATTACTACCTTTGCTACAACATCATTATTAATGGCGCAGATGAATACCAAAGTATAATGCATTCTGTGTACATAGGCAGCATTCATGTACATACGAGCCTGTGACAAAACCAGAGCGCAAAGCGTTTCACGTGACTGGTTACATTTTGGTTCAGAAAACATACGCATACTTCTCAGTATATGGGACGTTGTTATAAAGCTAGTTTCCGGCATGTGGCCATTTATGATACATCGAGAACCGGCTTATGTTACAAACATGTGACGAAAAACGTCAGTCAGCGTTGCTGACTTATATCTTCAGGCAAACACACCAAATTTCTTTGTCAAGTACTTTCACCTTTGCAACAAGTACTAACGATGATCAATACAAACGCAGACGATACCGCATGGACAAGGAGGTGAACAACGCACGCGCGTGCGTGTACCGTGATGGAGAGCAGGTAGAGGTGTTCTGGAAGGACCTGAAGGTGGGGCAAGTAGTGCACCTAGAGGAAGATGAGATGATCCCCGCGGATATCCTGCTGCTGCAATGCAGTGATCCCTCGGTATGTTACTGCGTGTGTAGCTAAGCTAAGCGCACGTGTACATAAAATACTACGTTAGCTAAGATAAACGCACGTGTACATACACTGCCACGTGCAACCGAAGGCCAATGCTTCGCCCTGATGTGGTGGGTGGAAAACACACACATGTGTATGCACGTGTCGACAAATGCGTTGCCTGATTTATTCAATTGTACAAACCCTAAACTTAATCCTCAAACTCTCGCTAGTATGAGAAACTTAGTGCGATGCCTTCTACCGTGTCTTTACTGTGAATACTCTTTTGCTTCTTCTGAACGTCGTCACTTCACTCATATGATAAACCTGGTGGGGTGTCAGTTACTGTTACTGTGTCTTCATGTGTCTGCTCATATGCTTTCTTCCTCTGAACGTTGTAACTTATATGATAAAACTGGTGTTGTGTCTGTTACTGCGTCACCAGTGTCTTCTCATCTGCGTTCTTCCTCTGTACATCATTCAGGGCAATGCCTACATTGAAACCGCCAACCTGGACGGAGAGACGAACCTGAAACAGCGAATGATTGTCAAGTAAGTTACATTACAAGCGAATGATTGTCAAGTAAGTTAAATTACAAGCGAATGATTGTCAAGTAAGTTAAAGTACAAGCGAATGATTGTCAAGTAAGTTAAATTACAAGCGAATGATCGTCAAGTAAGTTAGGGTACAAGCGAATGATTGTCCAGTGATTGAAACTACAAGAACACACGAGATGGTTGAGATCGGAAATCCTATTTTAGAGTTTACCTAAAACCTATTTCAATATTTTCCTGTCTCTCCCTGCACTGTGTAGATGTCCCACTCTCGCGGGCGTCAACAACCCCAACGAGTTGGTGGGAGAGGTCATCTGTGACAAGCCTCACATCAGCATATACGACTACAACGGACAGTTCAGAGCCACCGATGACCATCTGAAGGTAGGGACCAAACAGTGCCCACACAAAACCATTGCTGTGTGCATGGCTTTATCACTCTTATTGTTAGTACTATTAGTGCTGTCCTGGCGAGTGTCTGCTATTGTAACTGCAAGTATATGTGCACAGGCGTATGTTGAATGCATATCATTTTAAAATAAATACCTCCAGGTTCCCATTGACGGCAAGAATTTGATGCTGAGAGGGTGCAACCTGCGTAACACCGACTGGGCGCTTGGCGTGGTAGTGTACACTGGACCCGAGACCAAAGCCATGCTCAACAACACCGGTAAGTGTACTATAATGAGCGTCACATACATGTTGTGCTCGATGGCATGCATGCATGACACCGGCGTGCGGCTTTGGGCATGCCAATTATCGGTCGGATGTTTGTGTGTATATAGCCCGTAGTATATAGTTAACATGTGCGTTAAAACAAAGCTGGCCGCATACTAGGGCGAGGCTGAAGGCAAGGCCGGGGCATTAGGTAGGCTAAGAAACATTATTGGGTTATTTAGTGCACTTCACCGCAACCCCGGCCCTAAAACGTTCTAAAAATAGCACCTTGCACCCAAAAACAATATCAGGGCCGAGGTTCAAGCGCTCCAAGATCGAGCGCGACATGAACGGGGAGATTGTGTGGCTGGCTATCATTCTGGTGGTCATGTGCACCTCCTGCGCCATCGCCGGAGGGCTGTGGATGGACGCCCTGCCGTACAAGGAGGTGTGTCTTGAGCTAATGCTAAATTTATTTATATATATCTATATAAATTTATTTATATATATATATATATATATATACGCATATAAATGATTGTGTAGTGGCAGTTGCGCGTAGTATTAGGTGTCTGTACGTCAACGTGGTGACTACGTGTTTGTCTTGTGCACTCGCGGCACGGCTGTGGAGCAAAAGAACTGTGATACAAACAATTTTCATATTATCGCTATGTTCACATAGAGTTGGCGTGTTCTCTGTCTTTGAGAGAAGTGTAAAGAAGGTCATGGCTACCGTGTATTACAGTTCGGTCTAGTGATGTGATGTGTCAGTACAAACATAAGTCGCGGACGAGCCAATCATCTAGACGCACTGGTTTTGCACTCTCACGGCCAAATGACGAACACACATGCGGTGTATTAGAGCGCACACCTCAAGCAATAACCATGCATGACGTCTCATCGACTTGTACTTTGTACCGACGTTGCAGACGATGTTCATTCCCTTCAAAGACGGTGATCCCGAGCCATTGCTATACACGTTCTTGGCGTTCTGGTCCAATATCATTCTGTTCAACGTCATGGTGCCCATTTCACTGTACGTTACTTTGGAGCTCATCAAGCTGGGGCAGGTAAGTGTATTTGTATGTGTATATTTTATGTGTTTATTTAGATGTATATGTAGATGCATATTTTTATGTGTTTATGTAGATGTATATGTACATGTATCTTTTTATATGTTTATTTATAGGTACATGTATCTTTTTATGTGTTTATGTATCTGTATATGTCCATGTATCTTTTTATGTATGTATGGTTTTTGAAAGTATGTACGTGTGCAGGTGTATGTGTATAGGTCTATAAAATCACTTAATTAACTGAACGCCAACGAGGAACTATATATAATAGTGTTCGTGCCTGTGAGCTCCACAACCACGGTACACGCATTCATAATATACTATAATGTATATCATAACGGACCATAGTTTATGCCCTATACTTCCAACTGTGTCTACGCACACATGTCTTCAATTCATAACTGTGTATGTGTGTATATGAGTTGGTTCATATAACCCAAACTTCCGGACTATCCAATCCTTTTATCAAGTACACACAGTTACGCCATAGCGTACGTGATACTAAGCGCAGTGTGTGTATGTCGCCATCTCCACCTGCAGGTGTACTTTATGTCCAACGATCCCCAAATGAAAGACCCACGTTCGGGCAAGAACATGCAGTGTCGTGCGCTCAACATCAATGAGGACCTGGGCCAAATCGAGTACATTTTCTCGGACAAAACAGGAACACTCACAGGTAGGAGTGCCGTCTGTACCTGTTTTCTGTGGGGTGGTTGCGTAGAGGTGTACGCTTTGAGAATCTTATCTGCAGGTGATGGCTTTCGTGAGACGCCCGTGTTGTCGTGTTATATGTTTCTGTTGTAACATAGGTTGCCCTTACTGTACTTCTTAATTAAGAAGAATTGGTCCATTTCTTCACCTTTTAAAATCGGTATAAGGGATGCTTGTACATGCACAGAGTACTTAGCTTGACGTGCGGCCGTAGTGGTAAGTGCGTATATTACGATTAGAACAACGTTCACATAAGTACGAGTATGGCATGTTTACCACATACATGTATTGTAGAAACTCCTGATAGAACAAACACCACAGCAATGCAGAATGCACAGAAATGCGAAGCACGCACAGCACAGCGTGTTCACGCCACCCGGATTTGGTGTCAACTGAAGATGCACCCCAATTTAATGCCCATTAACCCCCCCCCCCTTTCTCTCTCTCTCTCTCTCTCTTTTACTCATACGCTCACTTGCTCACTCACTCTCCTCCTTGACCTTTAACAGAGAATCAGATGGTGTTTAAGAAGTGCTCCATCGGATGTACGGACTACGGCTATGTCGATTCAGAGGCGAAGATTTCCGAAGCCGCCGATGACAACCCCACCGGAATTGTCCTGTAAGTCCAGCCCTGTCCAAAATATTGAGGTACAGTACATGTGTTGCAGCACAGTTTAGTCTGGTTGTTTGTGACCAAATGGCATTGACTATGTACTATCGGATGTGGTTACTTTTACTGGAAAATGGTTCACGTCGAACACCTATACATAATCGCAAGTGTAGTCTACCTCTTCCGTGCGAGTATCACATGCGCTCTATGCTGTTCGGTACAATTACACAGCAGATTATGACCCTATCACTTCTTACGCACGCATGCCCTGCCTTCTCCGATGGCCACAGGAAGGACCCCAATCTCGTGCTGAAGCTGTCGTCCTGTGCAACGGATTCGGACCTGTACCAGTTCTTCTTGTGTCTGGCAATATGCAATACCGTGGTGCCCAGGCCTGGAAAGGTACGATCGCGCGTGGTGATGGGCTTTGCACAGACTATTTGTAGACGTTTAGGTGCAATGTTGCCCTATTTCTAGGTGATTCTGTTATGTTATGTATGTTATGTGGGCCAGAAAAACTTTAAGATCACTGTGTGTGGGACTATGGTGTACTCTAGGGGCTTAATTTGTCCTTAATATCTCACCATATCAGGACGGAAGTGTTCGGTACGATTCCGAATCGCCCGATGAGGCTGCGCTTGTGGACGCGGCAAAGGCGTACGGCTTCGAGCTGGTCACACGCACACAAACATCCGTTACCATCAGGGCCCTGGGGGTAATCAGGACATTTAAGATCATGAATGTACTGGAGTTCACTAGTACCCGGAAATGGTAAGTTGTATTCGTTGTTACTTAGATGGTGAGAATGAAAGCGTCGGCACTCGGGCACTCGGGTATACTGATGTTACACAGGTGGTAGCTGCTAAGCCGATAATCTCTATCTGCAGAAGTTGTTGGAACGCCGTATCTGGTGCTATGGAGACGTCTCGAGTGTACCATATACCATAAGTACTGTCTCACTCTCTGTATTATAGTACGTGAAAGGCCTGGTAGATTGAATACCTTACACCCCCACCCACTTATATACAACACCCCTCTACCTGTACCTCCACAGTATGTCCATCATCATTGAGAACCCGGACCAGAGCATCACCATGTACTCCAAGGGAGCGGACAGTCGCATCTACGAACTGCTTGACCAACAAAACAACGCCTCACTCATGGCCAGTACCAACGTTCATCTGACCCAATTCTCCAGCGGGGGACTGCGCACACTGTGCCTGGCCAAGAAGGTAGGCTCACTGACGGGGTGTACTCGGTAGGGCTGACCGTCTACGTGCTATGAGCCTCGAACGATTCACATTTCATGTCCCAAGTCGCATAACCGCTGTTTGTTACGGTAAGCCCTAAACGAGGCACAGATAACCAACCCTTCACGCCCCCATATCCCCTTAACTGAACGTCATTCGCACTCTCTCCGCAGGACTTGGACTTGTCATGGTACCACAAGTGGCAGAAGAAGTGGGGCCAGGCGGGATGTGCCTTGCACGACCGCCAAGTGCGACTGGACAAACTGTCCACTAAGGTGGAGCGAGGGCTGACCCTGCTCGGTGCTACAGGTACGTTGTTGTGTGCGTGTTGTGTGCACTTTGGGATGGTTGAGGAGGATGTTGATGTGGTGATTTGTGCTATTGCTTGCGGACGTGGGTCGACCCAATGTGCATGTCGTGCTTGTTTGTGTATACATTTGCGAATGGGGCATTGGTAGAGTGTGTATTGCCTGTTGCATTGGTGTTGATTTCTTGTCTGTATGTACACCTACCTGTTAGAGTGTGTATTGCCAGTTGCAGTGGTATTGATTTCTTGTCTGAATGTACACCTACCTGGTAGTGCTTGTGTTGGTGGTGTTCCCTCACGTCTGCGAGACGTATGATCTGTGTGTAGGGTGTTCGCAAATAAGTTTCAACTCTACGTCTCTGTACGCTACATGAACTAGTGAGGCAACTATTAGTAAGATACTTCATTGTGTATTTGTGTAACATGTGTAGTCTGCTTGATATTAGTCAACGGTATACAGCACCACTTTCGGATAGTCTATCGATTATACCACTAGTTGGGTACCATGCGTGCATTTTCAATATACTCATGAGAACATCATCTGCTATTCACCCTTACTATTAGGTATCGAGGACAAATTACAGGCAGGTGTCCCTGAAGCCATCCGCACACTGCGCGAGGCGGGTATCCATGTGTGGGTATTGACCGGAGACAAACAGGAGACTGCCCTGGAGATAGCGTACTCCAGTAAGCTTATCGACGAGGTGTGTCTGATTATATATCTATCTATCTATATATATATAAATCTATCTATATATATATATATATATATAATTTATTTTTATTTATTTATTTTTTGATTGGGGGGGTCAGGTAGGAGAAGGAGATCGAAGGAATACATGCTTGGACATATATGCGCGTATGTGTATGGATACGTACCCGTACCGAGTTTTAGTGTATAGGGCTGTCGTGTCTCTATGCGTGGGTGTGTGAACCATATGAACCTGTCTGCTTCATAGGCGCAGGTAGACGTGTGCCAGTATGAACGCGTGTGCGGCTAGTACGTTCTCTGGGCACATGCTGGTGCTAGAAGTCTGAGCCTGCCTTCTGCATGGTCTTAGGGATCCGTCCCTTTTCATGCGTAGTTTGAACACCTTGAGTGTGTCCTGTACATAGTCCTACCTTGTGGGTTTTGGACATGCAAGCGTATGTATATGTAGGTGTACATAGTCCTATCTTGTGGGTTTTGGACATGCAAGCGTATGCAAATGTAGGTGTACATAGTCCTATCTTGTGGGGGTTGGACATGCAAGCGTATGCATATGTAGGACATGCAAGCGTATGCATATATAGGTGTGTATCTCGTTTGGAGTACTACCACACGCACACTCAAGCACACACACATATGCATCGAGGATTTTTGTGTTAGAATGCGTGAAAGTGTCTATGCATGCAAATGTTCATGAGCGTAAAAGAAGAACTGGATACTCACATGCGTCTAGGGTTTTAGGGGATAAAACCCCCATCCTAAATCCACACCTTCTCGTGTAAGCTACATAGTATTATATACACGCACCCTTGTGATACAGGCACAACCCCACACATTGCCTTTTGACTCTACAGGATATGGGCCAGTACGTCATTAACGGCGAGAGCATGAACGAAGTTCGGCACCTCCTGCGCCAAACCGTCGAGACCATAACCCGCTCTGACACCCGTGAAACCATGGAGAAGCAACAGAAGAAGCCCAAGGGCATGACACGACAAGTCTCCCTAGACACCGTCGAATTCGACGCGTCTCCCGAGAGCTTTACGCGCAAGACCCAGCACGCCATGGTCATCGACGGCAAGAGCCTGTCGTATGCGCTGGATGAGACTTGTCAGGAGCTGTTTGTAACGGCCGCGTGTCTGTGTGATGTGGTGCTGTGTGCGCGCACGGCGCCGTTGCAGAAGGCGCGGGTGGTGACTAGCGTCAACCAGTACAAGGACATCATGTCTCTGGCGATAGGGGATGGGGCGAATGATGTGAGCATGATTCAGTGTGCCGATGTGGGGGTGGGTGTACAGGGCAATGAGGGTATGCAGGCGGTTATGGCGTCGGACTTTGCCATTGGCCGCTTCCGCTTCTTGCCCAGGCTGTTGCTGGTCCATGGGCACTGGAATTATCATCGCATCGCCAATACAGTTCTGTACTTCTTCTTCAAGGTGTGAATCCGCTGCCTTTGGAGTGTACCAGCTTTTAGTTTCTTGGTGTGATGGTGTCTACTCCCTTCACGTATCTGTCTAAGAGATAGATGTTCTCCTGATAGCCCTATAGTCCGTCGTCGCTCAGACGATCGCAAGTTGTATAGATAGATAAGTATTCTATTCCAAGAGCCCCACCCACCCCTCAGTAGAGTTTACCAATCGCACTAACCTCTATGCACACCATTTGCTTCTATCACCAACTAAACAGAACTCGATCTTTGTGTATCTGCTGCTGTGGTACCAGTTCTGCTGCGGATTCTCTGGGCAGACGTCAATCAACCAGTACTATCTGATGACGTACAACCTTCTCTTCACCTCCCTGCCCATTATTCTCTTTGCCATTCTAGACCAGGCAAGGAACGAAGCACCAAGTGCCATATATATATATATATATATATATATATATACTGCACATGTGTTCTACTTGTATTGTATATTCATAA